CCGAAACGTCAGCAATTGTGTTCTAATAAATTCTATATTAACAACCTCGTGTCTGCTTATTGATGAAAAACATTGAAACAAAAAACTATCTCTAATTGTAAAGGGGGAGAGTTTTAAAAATTTCTCGAGTTCTTCAGTACCTGTCCAGAAACAATCCCTGATCCATAAAGCACCGCCGATTCGTCAGTCAACCGCAACCATTTACCATCCTCGTTTTCAATTTCCTCGATATAGGATAAAGTACCACCCCTAAACAACATGCCATAAATTCTTTTTTAAAAAATGCCACAAAAGTATTAAAGAAAAAAGTGATCCTTTTTTCTTGCACTCTCAGAGTTCTTACAGAGGAGAACCAGCCATCCATTTACAATATTAAAAAGAGAACACCACAAATATAAAGGATAAAGAAAGCTCTTGGCGTTGACCAATCCCTTAGGATACACTCTGGAAACTGCCTTCGACTTCATTAAGCATCGTTGAGGATGACTGAATACATAACTGGCCTTTACAATGACTCGCGGTGGCCTACCGATGTATCGAGCTTCCAGACAAGTCTGGTACCAAATTGCCGACCGCAGGGTGATGAAAAGTTTGGTGCGCCAGAGGTGCGGAAATCAATCCCATGTGTATTGCAGGGCGCCCCGAATGCTGCACCGCACGCGCCCATCACAAATGTACAAAACGAAATTTAAACAAAAAAAGGGACACTCAGGATTTAAATAAAATGCGTTTCACCTTGGAATTGTGCCCACACACTGAGCCGTCAACGATGCGCCGAGGCGCATCCGAATTGCTTGAAATGGCAGTGTTGCTGGTATCATCACTTTTCTAGCTCTAAGAATTCATAACCATTAAGTAATCAACTAACCCTTAAAAGTTTGAATAGCGTTAAAATGTACCTGCTTAAGTGCGCAGCACGGTGCTCACGGCGCTTCACATTCTCTTCCTTTTCAGATATCTGCAACATAATTCCTAATCCATTTTAAATGAAAACCAAAGAATAAACGTAGCAATAACTACTTCGATTAAATAATTGTGTGTCAGTTCGCAACCGTCTACTCGACAAACAACTCTATAGCTACCTGGAGCTGCTGGGATCCATTCACCTTCAAATCTAGAAAAAAAAGGTAAAAAAAATAAGCGACACGGTAAAGAACTACCGGCCTTCCGCACTGAGGTATCGTAAGCCAGTTAGTCAACAGGCAACGCGGCGTGTCCCTAAGGTGGTAGACAGGGGCCCATTTAAGGAACAAAAGCGAACTTTTGCTTCCCTGAAACGAAGTTGGATCCCTCCATGGAAGTGGATTGCTTGTTTCAGTTGCGCCGATATGACACACGTCTCATGCATTTACGCGGGCCTATGTGGGTGTATTCTTGCTTATGCTAGATGTATTATAGGAGTCAATTTGCCCAAAAGTCTGCAATAAAGTGACAGGAAGTTATACGGAAGACGGTTACAAGTTGCTTGCAACAAATAAACTCTATCCTGCGAAAAAGTGGTAAGCTACTCGTAAGTATACTAAGCCGCCACGTTCAGATTTCGGCAAGCTATATGAGTGCATCAAATGCCAAATAGTAAAATATGTGGGCTTCATTCACTTCTCCCCGAAAGTCTCTAGTACGGCAGCGTTAGAGAAGATGAGTACGGAGAGGCTGCTAAAATCCCAAGGTCACTGCCAATATCGCAAGGGACTAAGATGACGATCTGGACCTACAATCTACGCACACCTGCATCTGAGTCCTCGATAGAAAATTTGATCATGCAAACGAAAAGGATAAGGTACAACGTCATCGGACTAGCACAGACTAGAAAACACGCCACCCATTCAAAGCCTTCTATGACACCGGAGAAGAAATGACCTAGGAATATGCGACTACAGATGAGTTGGAGGCATCGGCGTTCCTTTCAACACACGCTTCGCCCTGAATATCGATGCATTCGAACAACTAACAACCCGAATGATGTTTACGGTTGAGGAGATGTGGATAGACGGAAAAAAATTTGAAGTGTTCTATATGGACCTCGAGAAGTTCTAAAGAGACGACCATACATTCTTCACGGTGATCATTACAGAGTTTAGCTCCAAGACTGGATCCACGAGAACACATTGGACCTGTCGATTAAAATGGAATGAGCACGGTGAACTGCTGTTTGAGTTTTAATCATGATGACCAAGACCGTTCATGATATCTAGCAATTCCTGAAGCCCCACTCTCAACGACAGATGTAGAAATCTCCCAATGGAGAGTACCGTAACGAAACAGACAACACAGCACATCGAAGAAGTTGCCTGACATCATTGTTGCCCCAAAATTTTGCACGAGACCAGAACACGACCTCCCTCGTGCAAAATTTCACTTTCCACGGAAAGAAGGAGGAAGAGCTAAATTCAAAAAACGAAGCCCGAAAACCACTATAGACTGGGATGTGTTCAGCTCACTACTCGACCGCTAGGAAGATGCCGTTCTTGATGACATCGACGAGGAATACGACCGGCTCATTCAACATCCTCACGTTAGGGTCATAAAAGTTGAGAGCTAGAAAGTCATCAAGAGATATCTGAGCACAGAAAAGCTCGAGCTGGAACGCCAACGTGGAATCGCCCGAACTACATGCAACCGCCAACTCACGTACGAACTTGCAAAACAGTATACATGGGCGAATCTCAAAGCGAGAAGAGCAGCAGTTATGGACGAAGCTGCAAAGGTTGGGAAAAGTATTTGCACAGCCCGCCGAAGTTTCGCCAAATACAAAACCAAGACGACTGCACTCCTACACTTAGACGGAACAGTTACAGCGCCCAAAAAGGCAATGGAGAAAATCATTCAAGAATACTACTCGGGCCTCTTCAATAGCCACGTCCTCCTCTCATATGAAATAAAGGAGGATGGATATGTCGTACCACCGGTTCTCCCTTCCGAAATCCGACATGCTACTTTGCCGGTGGAGAATCAAACAAAACCTGCTCTGTACTGCATAAGAATTAGATATCTGAATAGACTTCCCCCAGTTTATCAACACACTGGCTTGGCTTTTCACACGCAAACTGTCAAAATGCAAAGCTCTCATTCAGAGGAAGACCAGCAAAACCGTCAAATTGTTCAAGAAGGGTAACCTACGCAATATCGGCAACTATCGCACAATTCGTCCGTCTTCTGCTTGCCACAAAGCCTTCACTCGAGCCATCCAAAACGGGAATGACAGAACACTGCACGAAAAAGAATTATGTGGATAAACAGGCATGCGAAAGGACTCAGTATGATGGACCACATTCGTACGATAACAATACTGATTGTAGAATCGCGAGAGAATACAAGAGCGCTCTGCCTCATATTCATCAATTAAAAGAAACCTTTTGACCCAGTCGAAATAGGAGTAGCCATGGATGCTCTCGACAGCTATGGCGTCCCTATTTAATATATATTCTTCGACAGATGTATAAAATTTTCTCAACCAAAATATCATCACTCTGCAAAGATATTAACATAGACATCGAAGGTATAGCAACTATTCCCAGAATAGTCTCTATTTCTTTCTATATATTTGTATCTTTCTACTACTGTATGTTTCAGTATTAAGGATCAATTATGTTCAATGTTTCAGGCTCAATAGCGATTCAGGTTTGACTTCAGTAGCATACCAACGATGGCTTATCCGAAGAAGGCGTAACCATAGAACAGTTTACTACTTGCTTGCGAAACAACGAAGCTAATGACGTTTGATGTTTCAGGCAGTTAGGTACAGTCTTCTGCGGTCGAGGATCAACAATCCAGATTAACCGCGGTTGCATACGCTCGCGGCTCCCGCAGCCGATATAAGCCAGGTGCCTTCGAAGGCGGAGACATGCCATCACTCACCTTACCACCGATCGGTAGCGCGGATAATCCGCTCCTCACAACCACATCCTCAATCATCCTCAATCACCTCAACTCATTCTTAGTCATAGTCATTCATTCTTATTCAATCACACTCATACACACACACATTCATCCTTCAGTAATCAGCAGATTATTGTATCTTGTTTCTCAGCTTGTCTAGGGTGCGATGTCAGTAGTGGCGGGTGTTACCAAATGCGTTCTGTT